CCGTGCAGGACATTTGGCATTTGCCAGAGAACACCAAGATTGGCAAATTCGCCACTGGCGCCCTGTGCTCTTCACAGATGACAGCAGGTTCACACTGAGCACATGTGACAGACGTGACCGAGTCTGGAGACGCCGTGGAGAACGTTCTGCTGCCTGCAACATCCTCCAGCATGACCGGTTTGGCGGTGGGTCAGTCTGGAGAGGCATATCTTTGGGGGGTCACACAGACCTCCATGTGCTAGCCAATGGTACCTTGACAGCTGTTAGATACACGGATGAGATCCTCAGACCCCTTGTGAGACCATATGCTGGTGCGGTTGGCCCTGGGTTCCTCCTGATGCAAGACAATGCTAGACCTCATGTAGCTGGAGTGTGTCAGCAGTTCCTGCAAGAGGAAGGCACTGATGTTATGGACTGGCCTGAACGGGCCCCAGACCTGAATCCAATGGAGCACATCTGGGACATCATGTCTCGCTCCGTCCACCAACGCCAAGTTGCACCACAGACTGTCCAGGAGTTGGTGGATGCTTTAGTCCAGGTCTGGGAGGAGATCCCTCAGGAGACCATCCGCCACCTCATCAGGAGCATGCCCAGGCGTTGTAGGGAGGTCATACAGGCACATGGAGGCCACACACACTACTGAGCCTCATTTTGACTTGTTTTAAGGACATTACATCAAAGTTGGATAGGCCTGTAGTGTGGTTTTCCACTTTGATTTTGAGTGCGAGTCCAAATCTAGACCTCCATGGGTTGATAAATTTGATTTCCATTGATAATTTTTGTGATTTTGTTGTCAGCACATTCAACTATGTAAAGAAAGGAGTATTTAATGAGATTATTTCTTTCATCCAGATCTAGGATGTGTTATTTTAGTGTTCACTTTATTTTTTTGAGCAGTGTATATTATCTTCTCTCACAGGTTGCTCCAAATATATCCTACTGTAACACTGTAGTCTGCGGTATATTCACAGTGACAAACTCACAAAAGGGTCCATAAGTTCTCACAATGCAGCAAAACCACAAAAAATGAACAAATGTGTACTGAGGTGACATCTTTGGCTATCACTTAGAAAACAAAAAATGAAGTACAGTATATAAAATACTCAGTTCACAAACAGCTAGTATATTTTTAGGAAAAACATATTTCCTGCTTGTGATGATGTCTAATCTAACAGTGTTTTACATTGTATTAATGTAGACCTTTTAGCATCTTTCATTGGTGTAACAGTATTACTAAATGATGAATAACTGCCAAAATAGTGTACTGTTAGCATGTAAAGTTAGTTTGCTCTCAGCTCAAGTAATAATGTTTTGCGGGAGGCAATGCAATAAAAACAGTTCATTATGTAAGGTCTTTATACACCACTCCATCTCAATTGTGTTTTCAGGTAATGTTAAATATTTTTATTTTAAATTAGCCCTGGGTGAGGCCGACAGTGTTCATACAATAATTATCACTAAACAATTCAACCCATAGTTTTAATTTGACATCAATGCAACATGTTGTGCGTGGTGTGTAGCTGTTGTGGTGAAAATTATTTGAGTATTTTTGTTTTAAATTTGTAACATTTTTTCTGAATCCCAGTACATAATCAAATAAAAAGATCTGAATTTGAAATGATTTGTTCCACCACATTCTGAACTTGAATTTTGGTTCATATTTAAGAAGTGAAAAGCCACAGAGGTTCAAGCTGCTGATCTTGGCTCTTTAAAGCTCAGTATTATGAACTTGTAATCTACTGCTCCACCACACGAGTGCACCAACATGTTCATATTAATCCTCCTCTGTGCTGCCCTCTTCACTGGAAGCTGAACATGCTGAAATATTGTTTTTAATTTGTAATTATAAAAGAATCTTTTTTCATGTTTTAAAACTCTTCTGTCTTCTGTAGAGTACATACGAAGACATAAAGAAACTAAATATGAAGAGGTGTTTTAGTCCATAACACCTTATTATGAGCACAAGAACTGCATACATCAATAATTCCATGTGCTTTGTGGCTTCTCCCTATACCATATAGTGCTTCTTCTGTTGGTTCTGGCAGGTACAAGTGAATGTAAAGCCTGAGGTCGGACGCGGGTCCACAGCATAATCTGCGAGGAACAAACAACATGACGGGATCCAATCAATGGCTCTCTGAGAAACAGATCTATTGAGAGTTTCCTGGAGATCATGGAGGCCAACATGTGCCATGTAACTGTGATGTAATGGATTTGAAAGGACCTTTAATGCACAGCCTTTCAATCAGAGGCGGTTGGTAGTTCCCCGTACCCACTTTAAGACCAAAGGAGACCGGCCTTTCCAAGCAGCTGCACCCAGGTTGTGGAATGCAATCCCCAGTTCGTTACGCACCTTAAACTGTGATGTTTCTTTAAAAAGCAGCTGAAGACTCTGTTATTCAAACAGGCGTTTGCTAAAATTTAAGCTTGGTTTTAAAGTTGTCTGTCATATGTCAATGTGTTTCTGGTGTTTAGCTAGAACTGTATTTTGTTATTTTATTGTGAAGAACCTTGTGATTTTATCTGTGAAAAGTGCTATATAAATAAATGTTACTTACTTACTTATATTTTAGTGTTTCCTTTGTCCCATTGGAAGATCCGGCCAGATGGTGGCACTAACAGAAATGTGAGGTCGTCACCAAAGTCATTTAGGTTTCAATCTGCCTCACAGTAGTGAAAGTGCTTAAACGGTGGTTAATCATGTATTGACAGACAGATGCTCTAAGACCTTATTCCAGAGCAGGATATGTATTCTAATCAATCGTTATAGGGTTACGATAGTCACTGTCAACTTAAAAATGAAACATTAGATCTTGTTTGGTGTTGGACCTCACAGTCTGGTAGAACAAAAATGGGCCTTGTGACATCCTACAGGCCTTGTGACATCCCCGGCCTGTTGAATTCCCCAAAGCCTGAATTTAAAGTTATTTCAAACAAAGGACTGTTAAACAGGCCCCGGTAATGCATCTGGCGAGCCCCCCCGTCAGGTATAAGTAGACCTGAGCACAGCCAGCACATTGTCTTTCCACAGCTGCGTCAGCAGTGACGGGAGATGCAACTTTCTCAGCGCTGAACTTTCTTTGTTCCTGAATACAGACTTCACTCGCTGGACGAGCAACTCTGTTTTCTGTTTTCTTTTTTCTACCACTATTATTTTTTCTTTGTTTTGGATCCCTAAGGAACCTGTTATACACGAGATAATGTTTCATGCCTGCAGAATAAGACGGATAAACTCCTGTACTTAACTGAGAGAAGCTCACTTTCGTGTTCTACCTTCTCAACCTACGTCGACTTCACTGATTCCTGTTGCTGCTGCCGAAGAATCAGCTGTGCCGTTGAAACTACCGGCATCAGAACCGAGAGAAACTCTGCTGGATTTCCTAAAAGGACTGACGCATCTACTCGCTACCAAACGACACCTCAGAGGCTTTAGTATGTCTGGGCAGCAGATAGTTCTATGACTTTGTTATTGTAACTTGTACAAGCTTCATGTGGTGAATTTCTGTTAAGAAACTCCAAGGGATATTTAAAGATCGCCGTGTCTTGTTTTATTGCTGTGTGTTTTCCGGTGGTGTGTTTAGAATAGTTAATAGTATTTACTTGCTAGAGTTATTGATCATTGATCTATGATTGAGTTGAATAAATCCTATTATAATTTTAAGAAGTCGTTGCCTGTATAAGGTTGTAGTAAGAGTTGGTGGCCACGGCCAGTGTACGGACTCACCCCGGACTTGGTTATTGGTCCCTGATTCCAGGGTGTGCCCCGTATTTATCAATTATAATTATAATTTTGAATATTAATAGTTTTATTAATATTTCTTGAATATCTTTGATATGCAGCTAATAACCAAACCTGACCATATGTTTAAGACGCCCACATTGGAAAATGATTTCCTGACATTTCCTGTTTTGGCCTGTTAATCTGCTCTTTGTGTGTTTGTGTGGGATGTAAACAAGGTGGCCATGCAACGAAGGTTAAAATGAAGGGCAACTGGACTTGGTTGAAGCTACAGTAGCTTCACCAAGTCCAGTTGCCCTTCATTTTAACCTTCGTTGGATAACTATGACCTGGATGACTGAGAATCTTCATAGACAAGGTGGCCATGGTATGAAAAAATGTGCTTAGATCTATTAACACAAGCATATTGTTGCTCTGAAGTCTATCCTTTTTTTTTATTATTTTCAGTTTTATACCCATGTATAAATATTGTTTTTCTAAATTGTTTCATACAGTAATCCAAAGATTTGACAACACAGTCCCCCAACTGAAGAAAAAAAACACAAAACCAGATCCAGAAAAGTCAAATTAATAAAAAGTGAGTGTGTGTTTCTTTGCTGCTACCTCCTCAATGTTCTCTACCGAAACCAGACAGAAGCGGGTCATGCAAGACTGACAGCAGCATCAGTAAAGTATATTATGTTTAGTGTTGGGCCGTTATCGGCGTTAACTCTTACCGGGGTCGATAAAGAAAGATATCGCTGTTAATCTATTCTCAAAGTTGGGTTTGGAGCTGGGTCTATAGGGGAGAGCCGGGACGATTGAAACGCGGGACAAGTGAAACACAGCGATTTTCTCGGAGCCCATACAAGTCTGATATGCCAAACTACCTGAGCACATACAGTCCACAGTACAGGGAAAATCAGGTGGACACTTTCACAGAGTTATATGAAAGAAGCTTTCTCAAGCAGTTTGTGATGCATTTTGGAAACAGGAGATGAGCCCTGGTCTAATGCGCCACCTGGCTTGATAAACCCGTTCTCAAAGAGAAGTCATTATTTGGGTAGCACACATATTCTGAATGCCTTCGGAAGAATTCAAATGAGCCATTTTAATCTAGATTAATCTAGATTAATTCCAATATTACAGTGAGATTAATCTAGATTAAAAAAATGTATCAATGCCCACCACTAATTATGTTACTGAATTTATATCTACTACAGTTACTGTGTCATACAGTGAATCCAAAGATTTGACAACACAGTCTTCTTACTGAAGTTACAAAAACCACCAAACCGGATCCAGAAGACTCAAATAAATATAAAGTGTGCATGTGTGTGTCATTGCTGCTACTTCCTCATTCTTCTCTACTGAAACCAGACAGAAGCCGGGTCATGCAAGACGGACAGCAGCATCGGTACAGTAGTATATCTACTACAGTTAGTACTGCAGAGTATACTTGTACACATTGAAGGTTTACAGCAGCATAGTAACCAATCAACACAGAGCAGTTACAGGAAGTGAAGTGCAGCTACTGTTCAACTGTCTCAGTCCTCTCAAGATGTCCTCAGATATTTATGCCAAACCAGATTTCTCAAAGAAGGTGAGATACAACAGAAAGGTGCAGGAGGACAACGTAGAGTGGGAAGAAAGAACGGTGGCTATCTACGAGAGTACAGACGATATCAGAGATGATCACACTGATCTTCAGTCACACGACGCAGGTAAGTGAGAAATTATGACAAATCAATGATATAAAAAATAATGTTTATCTTGTTTGTGTGATCGTCTGTTTGAATCATGTTGGACTAATGTGTGACCTCTGAGTTTACTCTGTTTGTAACACGTTGATTTTCAATCCCACAGAACTGCAGCCCATTAGCGTCTATGTTTATTTCCATTTATGTACATCTCTCAGCTCTGTATTAATAACAGGAAGAAGTTATTAATACAGAGCCGAGAGAGACTCAAGAGGAGATGATGCAAAGTCAGTTTAACAGCTTTTAGTTATGAGTCAGTTGTGCATTTTAATTGTCCTTTAAAACTCAACATCTCAGATCGGTTCATATTTGTTTTACATCAAATAATAATTGGTCAACACAACAGTCTTTATGTGATTTGTTAAAATGTTAATACTACATACTACACAGCTGTATACAGATGTCGACCAAACACAGATGAAGGCAGTGAAGCTGTTGACTAAAATGTTATGTGTGGGGAATGATAACATGACGCATGTTGTTTTCCTTTAATGAACCCGCTCTCTGTGTGCTTTGCCACTTTAGGACCGCACACTGAGAATCATCCTCCAGCCGTCCAAAGCAGGCCTTTCAGAGCTGCTGCATTTTGTCTTGGAGTGCTGTGCTTTCTGACCATAACTGGAATCATCCTCCTATACATACGTTGTAAGATAAAATACACCCACAACTACTGACAACCAAATACTGAACCTGTTCACAATGCAGAAAAACTGCTGCAACTGGTCTATGAAGCACATTTATTAAATGTTTTCCACCAAAGTTTGCTCAGTTACACTAAATGTACTTTCCAGTTCTCCACAACCAGATCTAAGGCTGCGTTCAGACTGCAGGCCAAAAAACACAGAATTAAGCATTAAAGGGATGCTTTGCAATTCTTATCCAATGTAGTTTTAGTTAAATTCAGTGAATATTTCCTCATGTCTGTCTGTTTTCATGTTTGTGATGATCCCAGCTGGTTAGCTTTGTTAGCTTTGCCTCAGCGGTCAGTCTGTGTGCGGTAGAGGAGGAATAGACGGAGCGTGAGCGTGAACGGGTGTCTCGGTGAATAGAGAGAAACGGGTCAGCAATAAGTTGTTCAGCAGTAAATGTACAGTAGAAGTTCCAGAGGCCGGTGAATAAAGACTGCAGCTTCTCCGGACTAAAGAGGATCTTACGTGTGCTGCTGCCAACTGTTGAATTAAGAGTGAAGGAGGTTAGCCCCAAAGTTAGCTTTGACTTCGTGCCACTAAAACATGCCCTCTTATTGAAGCTAACTTGCTCTCGGACAGCAGACGCTGTGGATTCTGCTATATTTCAGCAGAGTAGGACTGGTTACCATGGCAATGCGTGTCCATGAGTTTGTTTGGCCGTTGGACTCAAATATCTACAAACTCTCTGCAGAATCACCTTTAAGGCCTGCAGTCTGAACGTAGCCTAATAAAACAAGCTGGAGGAAGATGAGACTGTCTTGTTCAAATGGTGAAGAGCACCAGCTTCAGACTTTAAAGGACAGGTTCTGTTTTGTTTGTTCATCTTCAAATAAAACTGACCTGCCATATGCACGCTGAAAGAGTTATCTGTGTAAAAGTACATTCTAACTTTCAGCTGAAGCTATTATGAGAATTCAGAAGTCTGAGTTAGAAAAATCAAGAACATTTTTCTAAAAACACATGAACTTTGGAAGGAAAACCTTCAATTTGTGTAACTCAGACTAATGAAGCTTCATTCTAGCTTTGCCTGTACCTAAAACATTTGTTCACGCGACAAAGACTGAAGATTTTATGTCCCATTTTGTTTACACTGCAGTCAAGGTAGGAGGGGAAAAACTTCAGAGCCATGAACAAAACAATCATTTTATTGATCAAATGGCATGTGAGTCTGGAGCTATTCTTTATGGCAGCTGAATATACCGCATTCAGGATGTACCCTTTCACGCCATTTAAGCACAGTTACTTGACTGTGTTGATCTGCATTTTGGTTCTTCATCACACTTGATACATGAGCGAGTCAGTTATCCAGTTGTTACAACATCTCCACATACACGGCAGGTTAAAGGACACTAAATAACTAAATTATGGTTTGAATTAGAGTGATTTTAATTATGCAGAGAAAGTAACTAAACTGTCTTTAGTTTATAGTGAATGAGTTGGTGTTGTTGAGGTGTTTCTTATGTTGTTTCTCAACAGTCACTTTGGAAAAAGACCAGCTGCAGACCAGATACGACAAACTGAACAAGAACTACAGCGAGCTGCAGGGACAACTTTTAGGTGAGAAAGGTTTAAAAAAAATAAGCAAATACTGTAATACATAGGATCTAACTTCACACTGGTTATCAAGCATAAATATTTTCATATGGTCTTACTCTTTTATCTATTACTGGTTTCTAAAGATGAACATCAGTCAGTTACAGAGCAGTTACGAGACACTGAGTAAAATCAGGATGAAGTAAAGCGGCTGAAGGACAAAATTAGATGTGATGAACGATGAACACCAACATCACACCATTACTTTTAATTATAGTTCTTTTATCTTTTATTTCTGTTACAAATCAGATACAAAACCTGAGTGCATTTATAGAGTAAACAACAAGTGGCAGGAAAGATATTTACTAAATAATGAAACTAAAGTTTTATCAGTTGACAGTGAATGAGATGAAATCCATCTTTTAACACTCATTTGAAATATTTTGAAATTGTCTGACTCTTTTATCTCTCGTTGTTTTTTCTCAAGACGCGGCAGTCAACATCAGTCAGTTACAGAGCAGTTACGAGACACTGAGGAAAAATCACAGCCAGTTGCAGGATGAAGTAAAGCAGCTGAAGGACAAACTTGATGCTGAGAAAAGTTTAAAAACTAATAGTGAACACCAGCATCACACCAGTTCACTTGATGTAAATTATAATTCTTTTAAGCTGTTGAACTATTTGCTATGTGTTTATTACTGTTAAAACCTGAGTGTATTTATAGAGCAAACAACAAGTGGCAGGAAAGAAAGATATTTAAGAAGAAAGTGAAACAAGTTTTATCAATTTAACAATGAATGACATGAAATCCATCTTTTAACACTCATTTGACATGAAGAGAAGTGTTGTCCTGAAGGATGGAAGAGATTCAGATTCAGCTGTTACCGTAAATCCAATGAGGAGAAAACTTGGTCTGACAGCAGAAGTGACTGTCAAGAGAAAGGAGCAGATCTGGTGATCATAAACAACAAAGAGGAACAGGTGAGTGTGTTTGTTACTGAGTGTGTGATCTTAGATGTAGCTGCCAGTGATCTGTTACTTTTTTTGACCTGCAGCCAGTCGGCTTCCTATGACGATGCATTAGGGCCATTGTAGGTGGAAATAAAAAACATTACGGAGCGAAGACAAAAAAAAACCTTGAATATTCTCTGAGACTAAGGTTATAAATTTGAAAGAGAAAACTTGAAAAACAATGTTTCAGTAGAGTTTTGCATTATAACCATCTAAAAACTGAGGAGCAAACTGGCTCTGTTTGGGTCTGTGAGCTTTATCGGAGGTGCTGAAGTTCACATTTGTGGTGAGATTTCTGCCTGAAAGTGTTTTCAGGTAGTTTTAGTTTCCACCTCCTTGTCTCATCCTAACATACAGTCCCAAACATGCTTCAGGCTAATCCCCCACACAGAAAAGGAAACATCCACCTGTCATCTTGCCACTCAGTTTTCCTCGTTGTGACTCACTGTAAACATGTTGTAGAAGGAATGTAGAAGCAGATCTGTGTGAAAACTGTGTTACAAAACATCCACCAATATTCTATATAGACACCTAAAGTTAAGTTAAATAAAAGTGACAATCCACCAAAATGCTGAAAGGTCAGAAGATGATAAGAGACACCAAATATCTGGGGATTTCCACAGATCCAGGAGCAGCAGGAAAGAGAGCCAAGAGGTGATGTAATGCTTAGAAACAGAGCTATAAAAGGAGGTCCAAAACAAGGTGAAAATCACTTGTTACATGGCTTCATGTCAACTCGGGTCTCTGTTCTGGTAACAGAATGGGACTCTACTTTGCATCCATCTCTGAACCTCTCCGCTGAAACTTTTCTTTTCTAACTGCTGTCTATTTTTGTTGAAAATAAACATGTTGGTAAAAGTTCAAGCTTTTTTATCTGGCCTAAGTCTTGATTTTTTTTACACGGCACTGTCTTCAGTGAATTTAAAAAGATACGTTGCTTTTTATAGGATCAATAGATTTGAAAAGTACTTTTTACTTTTGATACTCATGAACTTTTAAATCCAGATACTTTTTCACTTTTACTTTAGTATTTTACTGGATGACTTTTATTTGAGTAACATTTTAGTGTGGTATCTGTACTTTTACTTAAGTAGGAACATTTAGTACTTTTCCCACCACTGAACAATGGTTATTCTACAAGAGGAGCTGAATTCCATCAGTCCTCTGAGTGTTTCTGATTTATGCACCACTGATGAACTGAAAAGTTGCCACAGATTTTCTTTTTCCTTCAGACTTTTCAGACATCACACATGTACCACAATAGAATTACTGAATTATGAAGAGAGAAATGATTATTGTCTCTTGTCAACTACTAGAAATGTGTCACTGAGCTGAACAAGGATGGAGACTCCTGGATTGGTCTACGGGCCACACAACAAACAGGATGGGAATGGAAATGGGTGGATGACTCACCGCTGACAGTACAGTGAGACGCTTTTAAAGTTTTTAGTTTCCATCACAATTCAATTTGTTACTAAAATAAGTTTGTTTTTTTAAAATTAGATGAAAACAATTCACATTTTATTAATTTACAAAGCTGAATTATGTGTTAAACACGTTATTAAAAATGTAATTGTCATTTATTAATCACAATAAAATGCTATATAATCCAACAGCTTCCTTCAAATTGAAAATAATCAGGAGTGACAACATTTTATTTCTCCAACAGGTTCTGGGCAACAGGACACCCGCACAGCAACAAATATTACGCTGCTGCATGCTGCGATCAACAAGGAAATTGGACACACAGTGCATATTATGATAGAAGAACTGGATTTGTGAGAAATAGATTTCCTGTTTATCTTGAGGACAGAGGGGTGTGTAGTGTTGGGATCAACTTTGTCAAATCAGACCAACTCACATTTTACATTTCTTCAGTTGTTCATTCTGTGTTGCATCCTGAACAACCTGGATTACATAGATATTGTTCCTCTGCCCTACACAGTGAACAGTCTGGTTGGAAGTCATCCACACAACTACATGTGCACTTACCCTCTCTGCAGAGAGGGATATTACAACAGCCTGTTTTCAAAAAGCCTAAGATGTCACATACATGACAACAAGGGGAAAGACGGCTCCTTTCTGTTTCAGTGTTATTTAAGCCATATCATAAAGGACAAACCTCATAGGCTTCTTCCACAGACCACTTACTGATGTAGTTACACTTGGGAGGAGGAAAGATTATGAATGTGTTTTGGAGAGACGGATGCATCTGACGGCCAATCAGATTTCAATCCATCTTTAATGCTTGCTTGCATTTACACTTTTTCCCCAGACAAAAGCTATCCAATCCTCGCCTGATGAATAGTCAGTATTAGTAATAGTCACATACTAAGGATGATATTCAATCATCGCTTTTGTTTTTCTTCATAAACTTACAGAACAGAACAATTATATGTTGATGTAACTAATCATGTATCTAAAGTTTATCATCATCATTGAACCATTAAAATTTCATGTCATTTCATCTACTAGACAGAACAAAAATAACTGGTCAACACATCACATTTCCTGTGTCAGAGATGCATGTGTGAATAAACTATATGGAGAACATGAATGCAGCTTTGCACAAATGTGTGAATGTGAGCACAAACCTGCTGTTGAGTGAAAACCATATACTTCCTCAGTGTCACTGACAAAAAACATCTTTATGTTTCAACTTTAAATATAGTTTTATGTAGTTTATGCCTCAATTAAATTCAAGTCTTCAATAATACATATGTTGTGGTGTCCATCTGTGTCAGTGGTGAGTCCTGCTGTTACTTCCTCTTTTGAAAGCTGCCCAACCCAAAGACAAACAAGCAGACAGTGAAGCTGTTCACTAAGTTTTCAGTGTTTCAAAATGTCTGCAAGGATTCTCGCTGCACCAGATTCAAGCTTGAATGTGAGATATACCGGAAGAGTTCAAGACAACAGAGGAGCGGGAGAGGAGAATCAGCTGGAGATCTCAGAGGATGAAAAGCATCACGCTGATCCTGGGTCACAAAAAGCAAGTAAGTCTGAAATGATGTTGTAAGAAGGACGTTAATGTACATTTTTGTGTGGCTATATAAAAATGTATAATTCATTAATCAGTTACCATTAACTATGGGTCATTATCAGGTGTCTTGTTTTTGTAATCTGGTGCCACAAGAGTCAATTTTCTTACTGACAGAATGACAACGAGTAACTAGAGAATCCAGTTTCTGAAGAAACTGCAGAGTGAATGTGGGCTGTTGAAAGCTGACGCTAAACTGATTGCTGGCTTGAATAATACCAATAATGTTTGAAAGATGTTGAAATTCTGACGCTATTCTGCGACGGCCGAGCGATAGCTGGCGTTGCTGAGCCTGTTTCTCTGATAACTTGAGATCCAGACGTCCCGTGACTAAAATCCTCAATCTGTTAGTGAAACAGACTGTGCAAGTCTGGACAATGACAGCAAAACTAGCCTGTGTGCATGAACATCCCCACAAAGATATCAAAACGAATTTATTTGCGTGTCAACAGTGAAAATTGTTGGCATGACGGCGAGTTAAGATTAAGTTTAAATGAAGTCTGTAGCTGAAAGTATGCAGAAATAGTGACATTTCAAAGTGGAGTAGTTATGAGGAGGATTTGAACCTTCTCTTCATCCACTTCAATACAAGAAAACGTCCTGGAAAACCTTGAATATTTTGGAATGTATGCAAGGTATCAACGAGTGAAAGGCAATAATGTCGTCATTGAGTTCAATAATTTGATGTTTAAATCAACATCAAACTGTGGGAGGAGATACAAGTTTTTGTTTGTAGAAGAACACAGGCTGTGAATGCTGACTCAGCCTGTCAGGCCGTAACCAGGGTTTAGAAATTAGTGAGGTCCAGACTTTGTTTCTTTTAATAGAGCTTATTTACAGAAATTCACACCAAAATCACACAAGTTACACAAACTAATGATCTATAATGAAAAACACAGGCCTACAAAGGGACCTGTTGGCAAAAAATACTTTTATTAAAGCTGAATTTGTTCTTTTCCTCTGTGTGTGTGTGTGTGTGTGTGTGTGTGTGTGTGTGTGTGTGTGTGTGTGTGTGTGTGTGTGTGTGTGTAATGAAGGCTTAAACCAGGAAGTGGGCAAAGCACTGTGATTGGTTAAGAACACACTAACCACAGGCTGTTCATCAAGGTCTTTCTCTCCACAGCTTGGCTCACTAAAATTGTATAAAATAAGAGATACAGACAGACACGCTATGATCAGGTCGTGCAAACAGGGAAATCTTGCTATACTAATCTTCACAACATGTATCAGGCTAAATGTATCTGACAGCCTACAACTGGCATCACAGGACTTTGTTGGAATGACATGTGCAGACTGCATAATGGCCACTATTGTTACTATATGACAACATAAAAAACAGCAGGTTGGTGCTGAATTCAGAGGATGCTCTGGTTGATATTACAGCCTCATTATTTGACGTCAGCAGCTGGTTGCACTGTTTTGTCAAGAGTATAGGAGCTGAATTCATGTGATGCATGGATCGGCTCTGACTATAATGTAATAATCATGTGCATAAACCATCCACATGCCCTCAACCAAAGACCTATTTTTTTTCTTTCTCTAATTAGCTTTCCAGGTGTTTTCTTTAACTATTTACTTTAATGATTAGAGAGGCTGCTGTCAGTCATTTAAACGTTTTCATTCACGCTGTAATGTCACAGCAATAATAATTTAAGCAGCAAAATAAAAAACTGTAGTTAAAAACTTGACAGGTGCAGACAGAGAAAACTCTGCAGAGGAAACAGAATTCAACTTTAACAACCAGCTTCTAAAATGTTCAGACTTTCTGATGGAGATCAGGATTGATCAGGAGGACGGCTGCTTTACTCAGATTTACTGTCTGAACCTGGACTGGGAGAGACCTTCTGTAGAAGAACTAAAAAACATTAGTTAACATTAGATTCTGACCGATCCTGTTGGCGTGTCGGGAGATTTGATTATGAAGTCATGCTGCTGCGGCTCGTGCGTAAATGCGCACAGCGTCTCTCCTGAAGGGGAGAGAACAGCGGGGCTCTCAGTTAGTGCGCGCACGCCGTTTTAATGTGCTTCTGATCAGAGAAACAGTTTGTCAAGTTGAAATAAGGGTTTTGACAGTGTAATCTGCTGCGTCCTCAGGGTCCTGAAGCCTTCATTTAAGTTGATCGTGTTATCAATAGTTGTTATTAGATTTTTTTCTATTGATAGGTTATAGCCTACATATAATTACAGAGGTCCGCACCTCGGTTACCTCATAGCTGGTTACGGTAATGCAGCCAATGTGCCACTATGAAACTCCACAGTTCACAGCGGCCACTTCAAACTTCAAACAAGAATAATTTAAATGTTCTCTGTGTATTTTGTCTCTGTAGGACCTCAGACTCCAAAGAATCGTGTCAGAAGAAGGTGTTTTACTGCAGCGACTCTGGGAGTGATGTATCTTCTGATATTGGCTGGAGTCTTCATACGCTGTGAGGAATTATGTTTTAAATCTAAACCAAAGATGTTTGATCTCATCTGAATATCATACATACGCTCTCTGAAGGGACTGAGTCAACTTTTAAAGAAATATAGAGGCAGATCATGCTCTATATGCCGCTTCATAGGCATGAATTGTTTGGAAATGCAGAATGATTTGGTGTTGTTGGTGTGTTTCTTATGTTGTTGTGCTTCTCACCAGATATTTCAGTCACTTTGGAAAAAGACCAGCTGCAGACCAGATACGACAAACTGAACAACAACTACAGCGAGCTGCAGGGACAAATTTCAGGTAAGAAAGGTTTTTAAAAAAAGAGCAAATACCAAAATACAAAGGATCTAACTTCACACTGCTAATTGACCATACATATTTTGAAATTGTCTTACTCTTTTATCTCTTGTTGTTTTTTCTCATGACACAGCAGTCAACATCAGTCAGTTGCAGAGCAGTTACGAGACACTGAGGAAAAATCACAGCCAGTTACAGGATGAAGTAAAGCAGCTGAAGGACAAACTTGATGGTGAGAAAGTTTAAAAACTAACAGTGAACACCAGCATCACACCAGTTCACTTGATATAACTTGAATTTGCCATTGATTTTCATTTTAATTCTTTTATCCTGTTGAACTGTTTTCTCTGTTTATTTCTGTTAGAAATGAGACAAAACCTGAGTGTATTTATAGAGTAAACAACAAGTGGCAGGCAAGAAAGATATTTAAGAAGAAAGTCAAACAACAAGTTTTATTAATTTAACAATGAATGACATAAAATCCATCTTTTAACGACATGAAGAGAAGTGGTGTCCTGAAGGATGGAAGAGATTCGGATTCAGCTGTTACTTTAAATCCAATGAGGAGAAAACTTGGTCTGACAGCAGATTGGACTGTTACACTAGAGGAGCACATCTGGTGATCATAAACAACAAAGAGGAACAGGTGAGTGTGTTTGTTACTGAGTGTGTGATCTTAGATGTAGCTGCCAGTGATCTGTTACTTCTGTTTTTGACCTGCAGCCAGTCGGCTTCCTATGACGATGCATTAGGGCCATTGTAGGTGGAAATAAAAACATTATGGAGCGAAGACAAAAAACACTTGAATATTCTCTGAGACTAAGGTTATAAATTTGAAAGAGAAAACTTGAAAAACAATGTTTCAGTAGAGTTTTGCATTATAACCATCTAAAAACTGAGGAGCAAACTGGCTCTGTTTGGGTCTGTGAGCTTTATCGGAGGTGCTGAAGTTCACATTTGTGGTGAGATTTCTGCCTGAAAGTGTTTTCAGGTAGTTTTAGTTTCCACCTCCTTGTCTCATCCTAACATACAGTCCCAAACGTGCTTCTGTGTCTGTCAGACGGTCTGAAGGGGAAACTACCACAGCAGCAGAGCAATAACGCAGGCTAATCCCCCACACAGAAAAGGAAACATCCACCTGTCATCTTGAGACTCAGTTTTCCTCGTTGTGATTCACTGAAACATGTTGTAGAAGGAATGTAGAAGCAGATCTGTGTGAAAACTGTGTTACAAAACATCCACCAATATATTCTATATAGACACCTAAAGTTAAGTGAAATAAAAGTGACAATCCACCAAAATGCTGAAAGGTCAGAAGATGATAAGAGACACCAAATATCTGGGGATTTCCACAGATCCAGGAGCAGCAGGAAAGAGAGCCAAGAGGTGATGTAATGCTTAGAAACAGAGCTATAAAAGGAGGTCCAAAACAAGGTGAAAATCACTTGTTACATGGCTTCATGTCAACTCGGGTCTCTGTTCTGGTAACAGAATGGGACTCTACTTTGCATCCATCTCTGAACCTCTCCGCTGAAACTTTTCTTTTCTAACTGCTGTCTATTTTTGTTGAAAATAAACATGTTGGTAAAAGTTCAAGATTTTTTTATCTGGCCTAAGTCTTGATTTTTTTTACACGGCACTGTGTTCAGTGAATTTAAAAAGATACGTTGCTTTTTATAGGATCAATAGATTTGAAAAGTACTTTTACTGTTGATACTTATGAACTTTTAAATCCAGGTCCTTTTTCACTTTTACTTGAGTAGTATTTTACTGGATGACTTTTATTTGAGTAACATTTTAGTGTGGTATCTGTACTTTTACTTAAGTAGGAACATTTAGTACTTTTCCCACCACTGAACAATGGTTATTCTACAAGAGGAGCTGAATTCCATCAGTCCTCTGAGTGTTTCTGATTTATGCACCACTGATGAACTGAAAAGTTGCCACAGATTTTCTTTTTCCTTCAGACTTTTCAGACATCACACATGTACCACAATAGAATTACTGAATTATGAACAGAGAAATATTATTGTCTCTTGTCAACTACTAGAAATGTGTCACTGAGCTGAACAAGGATGGAGACTCCTGGATTGGTCTACAGGCCACAGAATGGACAGGATGGGAATGGAAATGGGAGGACGACTCGCCGCTGACACTAAAGGGAGACGTTTTAAAGTTTTTAGTTTCCATCACAATTCATTTTATTACTAAAATAAGTTTGTTTTTAAAATTAGATGAAAACAAATGAAAAAAATATTAATTCACATTATATTAATTTACAAAGCTGAATTATGTGTTAAACACGTTATTAAAAATGTAATTGTCATTATTACTCACAATAAAAATGATAAAAAATCCAACAGCTTCCTTCAAATTGAAAATAATCAGGAGTGACAACATTTTATTTCTCCAACAGGTTCTGGGCAACAGGACACCCGCACAGCAATTATTATTACGCTGCATGCTGCGATAAACAAGGAAATGGACAGAGAGCGGATATGATGATCAGAAGAAGAACTGGATCTGTGAGAAAGAGCTTTCCTGTTTATCTTGAGGACAGAGGGTGTGTAGTGTTGGGATCAACTTTGTCAAATCAGACCAACTCACATTTTACATTTCTTCAGTTGTTCATTCTGTGTTGCATCCTGAACAACCTGGATTACATAGATATTGTTCCTCTGCCCTACACAGTGAACAGTCTGGTTGGAAGTCATCCACACAACTACATGTGCACTTACCCTCTCTGCAGAGAGGGATATTACAACAGCCTGTTTTCAAAAAGCCTAAGATGTCACATACATGACAACAAGGGGAAAGACGGCTCCTTTCTGTTTCAGTGTTATTTAAGCCATGATCATAAAGGACAAACCTCATAGGCTTCTTCCACAGACCACTTACTGATGTAGTTACACTTGGGAGGAGGAAAGATTACGAATGTGTTTTGGAGAGAAGAATACACCTGATTTTGAATAAGATTTCAATCCATCTTTAATGCTTAGTTGCATTTACACTTGGGCTGTTTTGCTAATCAAAAGCTATCAAATCCACACGATGCATGAACTGATACTCAGAATAGTAACAGTCACATCCTCTGCATGTGCGTCAGGAAGGATGATATTCAATCATCTCTTTTGTTTTCTTCATAAATTACCAAAGCACAATTATATGTTTAACATGTTAGGTTTATTATCATCATTGAACCATTAATACTTGTCACGTCATTTCATCTACTAGGCAGAACAAAAATAACTGGTCAACACATCACATTTCCTGTGTCAGAGATGCATGTGTGAATAAACTATATGGAGAACATGAATGCAGCTTTGCACAAATGTGTGAATGTGAGCACAAACCTGCTGTTGAGTGAAAACCATATACTTCCTCAGCGTCACTGACAAAAAACATCTTTATGTTTCAGCTTTAAATATAGTTTTATGTAGTTTATGCCTCAATTAAAGTCAAGTCTTCAATAATACATATGTTGTGGTGTCCATCTGTGTCAGTGGTGAGTCCTGCTGTTACTTCCTCTTTTGAAAGCTGCCCAACCCAAAGACAAACAAGCAGACAGTGAAGCTGTTCACTAAGTTTTCAGTTTCGAAATGTCTGCAAGGATTCTCGCTGCACCAGATTCAAGCTTGAATGTGAGATATACCGGAAGAGTTCAAGACAACAGAGGAGCGGGAGAGGAGAATCAGCTGGAGATCTCAGAGGATGAAAAGCATCACGCTGATCCTGGGTCACAAAAAGCAAGTAAGTCTGAAAGATGTTGTAAGAAGGACGTTAATGTACATTTTTGTGTGGCTCTATAAAAATGTATAATTCATTAATCAGTTACCATTAACTATGGGTCATTATCAGTGTCTTGTTTTTGTAATCTGGTGCCACAAGAGTCAATTTTCTTACTGACAGAATGACAACGAGTAACTAGAGAATCCAGTTTCTGAAGAAACTGCAGAGTGAATGTGGGCTGTTGAAAGCTGACGCTAAACTGATTGCTGGCTTGAATAATACCAATAATGTTTGAAAGATGTTGAAATTCTGACGCTATTCTGCGACGGCCGAGCGATAGCTGGCGTTGCTGAGCCTGTTTCTCTGATAACTGGAGATCCAGACGTCCCGTGACTAAAATCCTCAATCTGTTAGTGAAACAGACTGTGCAAGTCTGGATAATGACAGCAGAACTAGCCTGTGTGCATGAACATCCCCACAAAGATATCAAAAACTGTTTATTTGTGTGTCAACAGTGAAAATTGTTGGCATGACGGCGAGTTAAAGAGAAGATTAAGTTTAAATGAAGTCTGTAGCTGAAAGTATGCAGAAATAGTGACATTTCAAAGTGGAGTAGTTATGAGGAGGATTTGAACCTTCTCTTCATCCACTTCAATACAAAAAACATCCTGGAAAACCTTGAATATTTTGGAATGTATGCAAGGTATCAACGAGTGAAAGGCAATAATGTTGTCATTGAGTTGAAAAATTTGATGTTTAAATGGAGTTTTTACATCAAACTGTGGGAGGAGATACAAGTTTTTGTTTGTAGAAGAACACAGGCTGTGAATGCTGACTCAGCCTGTCAGGCCGTAACCAGGGTTTAGAAATTAGTGAGGTCCAGACTTTGTTTCTTTTAATAGAGCTTATTTACAGAAATTCATACAAGTTACACAAACTAATGATCTATAATGAAAAACACAGGCCTACAAAGGGACCTGTTGGCAAAAAATACTTTTATTAAAGATGAATTTGTTCTTTTCCTCTGTGTGTGTGTGTGTGTTAGCGCGCAGTGAATGCTCAAACCAGGAAGTGGGCAAAGCACTGTGATTGGTTAAGAACACACTAACCACAGGCTGTTCATCAAGGTCTTTCTCTCCACAGCTTGGCTCACTAAAATTGTAAAAATAAGAGATACAGACAGACACTGTAGTGAACAACGGTGTGGATTTGTGCATTTTATATTGAATAAATTTGGAGCTACTCCAAATTCTTCTCTCCTCCCCAGAGAAGAAGGGGAGGGGTCAAAGTTGCTTTCTCTAAGTGCTATCCCGACCATAAAACTGGCACCTTTTTGATTCCGAAGCTGATATCGCGGGGCCTGACTGTTAAACTGACAAAGGGACACGAACCAGCGAGTAGCATCTCCCTGAACAGCCTATCAAAACTGCCCCGCCCCACACACATGTTTCCGTGGCAACTGACCTTGCTCTTTGTTTTATTACCACATCAAAAGAAAACCCCTGTCTCACCCAAGTGTGACATGATCCAGGTAGCCAAACTTTGGATGACTGGAGCCTCCAAAGACTCAAAGCATTTCATTAAGTTTAATTAAATCCTCTATTTGAGTAGTTATGTTAACTGTTGTTGCTATCTGTTGTTGATATTAGTGCTGAAAAGAAAGAAACTTTTGCAGTGTTTCTGTTTTCAGCAAGACACTCCTTCATCTAATGTGATCAATGCTTGTTCATAATACTTTCCTACAAAATCCCTTTAGAAATGATGATAAAGAAATGTTTTACTATACTCTTAATCGCCAGCTTGAATTTAAGGATGAATCAACAATATTTCCCGGGTTCCTAAGGAGAGACGATCTTGGATTAATCTAAGCTTTCCTCATGTAACCTGAGCTCCCCCAAGTGGACGAATTAAGTATTACATACCCGTGTTGGAAATGCCGTTAAATGTATAAATATCCTGACCAATAATGTGACAATTGTTTCCTGTTACCAAATGCTTAACTTAGAACAGTACAACCGTTTGACCTTTGAGGTTCGATTG